AGCACTATATCCTCTCTATATTAATGAGGCATGTCACTCTTAAAAATCTACAAATAGATCCTCTCTCCTCACATGAAAGGGGGCTAGGACCTTCGGAAGCTTGGTCTTTGGACTAGAGATCAAGGCCCTAGAATTGCAAAGCTCCACCATGACACCACCATCAGTGAACCCTCTTCGATTAGCCACCACTGGTGAACCTCGCTCGATCATCGCCGACACTGGTATCTCCAACCACCCATCGCTCGTCGATTGCAGTCCCTCTAACTAGTGTCACCCGTTGACTATGGTCCCTCAGACCATCCTATCCCAAAGACTGTAGTCCTCAAACCACAAACGCCTGTCGATTTTGATCCCTCTAACCACCATCATCTACCTACTGTAGTCCCTCTAATCATGTTCTTCTACAGAATGTGGTCCCTCTGACCACCAGAGCCCACTACATATAGTCCCTACGACGTCCAACGCCCGCTGAATGTGGTCCCTAACACCATGGTTGCCCAGTAACTATAGTCCCTCATATCTCAGTAGCCCAACCACTGTGTGTCACGCCCCAAGATCTAACTTGGAAAGAATGTCAATCTATTTCTCAATCAATTTACCAGAGTTATCTAAACCTTCAATTAAACAGTCTATCAAACATCTATAAAATTTAAAACATCAATATACAAGTCGATTCATATCTCAAAACGTCATGTACAATACTCAGGAACTACACTACAATCACCAGTACTAAAATCTATCCTGAGTACAAAAGAATCAAAATCATCAAAAGACAAAAACCTGAAGATCCGGATCAATTCCTATCTTCTGCTCCCTTGCCCTGACCTGAAAATATCAACCACATATAATGAGCTTTACAAAGCCCAGCAGGTCACCTAATACCTATAACTGAAATCAAAGCACGGCGATGCTATCAATATGCATGTCAGTCAATCAAATCCATATCAGTCAATGGTCAATGAATCTGTGCAATACGGAAATCCATAGTCAATAAAGCCAGTCAATGCAGCGGTAGGCGAATCGATAAATCCAGCTCAATCAATCAGTACGTGAAATCTCAAGAGAATCCGTCGATCAATCAAATCAATCGTATCGAACCAATCTATCGTATCAAAGCAAGTCTCTAGTATCAAGTCGGTAAAATCAATCGGAAAAGCAATACGATAAATAAATCAATTGTAGCAATCAAATCAATACAATGCAGAATCAATCTATAGGCAATACCAATATCTATAGCATCAATGAATCTATACAATATCTATATCCATTCTATCCATATCAATGTCAATAATCAATAATCAATATCAATCGTATCCATTGCTCAATTGACACATCAATGAAAATCTATTAAATGCCGTTACAAAAAACAGTAAATCCGATCAAATCAATAAAGCAAAAAATCGATAAAATAATAAAATCCGGTACGTCAATAACAGATAAACATTGCATTCAATACATACTACTGGAACAATAGGTACAATCAACTGGCTTATGTTGTTGTTGAGAATCCATATTGCTGTTGTAGATATCCATACGTTGGTTTCAATAAAAAGAGTCGTCACTCTATTGCCCGCGGCCGCCCGTCAAAAATACCGGGCATATCTATAAGAAACTCCTTATGGACTCTCATCGTTATATCAGCATTGATCAATAGTTCTAAAAGGAAAAAGCCGTCGGCCCACCATCCTGTACAGGTCATTTCAATTCCCAACCAACGTTCAACCAGGTTCTACGTTGTGTTCCAGTATCAATAGGTCAATTCAAGAATCAATCCCGATAATCAATCAATAATCAATATTAATAATGCCATATTCATCAATCTAGTAACAATTCATATCAATAGTCATGCACATATCAATTCAATTACTCAATTTCAGAAAATCAGAAATCGTTCACGAAAATCGGGCAGAAGTAACGACAGTCTATCAAATTTACACAAAAATTCCTGCAAAAAGCGATGCAATTCCAAAATATCTTCAAAATTTTACAATAGAATATCACAAGACTATTATTCTATAGAATCCAAATCAAATCAAGTCCTGATATTTTTCTATTCGATTAAAATCGCGTAGAATCAATTCCGACCGGTAAAATCGTCGTAGGAAATACTCAAATCGTGTACAATAGTCATATCTATAACATACCAAAAGTTGTGCGGTGAAAGTTGTGTCAATACAAAACCGGGTCAAAAGTTCGACTACGAAAACACAAAACAGTGTACAACTCGGTCAAAACTCAATATCTCTGAAAACAGAAATAGGATTCGGAGTCCTTACCACAAGATCTTCACTTTTCCCAACAGTTATGTCGGACGAAAAGCGCTCCGCGGCCTCCGAAACCAAGCTCTTCCTCTTTTCCCTTTCTCTTTCTCTCTCCTCAAAATATCTATTTTTATAAAAATGATTTTCTCTCTCCTCAAAACGAGCTGATTTTCATATATCATTAGGCTGATCGGCCCGGCCGATCGCAAAATCGTCCCGGGACGATCAGACCAAAATCGATCGTCTTGGACGGTTCCCAGAACTATTTTCAGGACGGTATTTTGAATAGTACAGATCGTCCTGGACGATCTCAATATCGTCCCGGACGATCCTGGGAGGAAAATCCAAGTCAGAGAGGAACAGTAAGGGAACGAGGTCTCACACTGTGGTCCCTTCAACCTCAACTGCCCAGCAACTACGATCCTGTTGACCACCATCACCTAATAATTACAGTCCCTCTAGCCTCTAACCTTTTTTCACCTGATGACTATGATCCCTCATATCACCATCACCTGATGACCACGATCCCGTGGACCACCATCTCCCACCAACAAAAAGCACTTCAACCTTTTTCGTCCGTTGACTGGGGTCCCTCCAATCTCCGTCTCCCATCGACTATGGTTCCTCAAACCATTATTGCCCGTTGACTATGGTCTATCAGGCATACATGGCCCACCTACTATGGATCATTCGACTTCCATCGCTCTTTGACTAGTGGGGTTCCTCCAACTACCATCGTCATCGATTACAATCCAACCGACCACTATTGCCTTTAGTCTCTTTAACCACCAAAGCCTTCGACTACAGTCCCTTCAACCTCTGTCTCTCATAAACTACAGTCCTTTCAACATCCGTCACCCATCGACTATGCTCCCTTCTACCATGTTCACCCACTGATTATAGTCCCTCCAACCACCATCTCCCTCCGATTATGGTTCCTTCAAACTCTATCACGTAAAAATAATCCCCTCAACCTTAATCACCAGACTACAATCCCTTCAACATGCATCGCCTAATTACTATCCTACTTGCCAAACGAATCAGATAACATTTGTTTGATAACAACTCTCATATCCTTGAATTCTTTCTACTCTGACCATATATTATGCTCTATACGATGAGTATTTTCTACATTGAACCAAGGCCTTCTCTCAAGGAAGAGCATCATTTATAATCAATTATAAACACCTATAGAATCACTTTAACTAGGCCAGGCCCATGGTTTTCCCTTTTATCAAGGTTCACATAAAAATCTTAGTGACTCTTGCACTCCTCTCTCTTTATTTGTATGAGTTATAGATCTTCATTCAAAGCTATGATGTTAAACTGTTTATCTCTAAACCTCTGGCACCCATCTACTATAGTCCCTCCAACCTCCATTCCCCACTGACTACGGTCCCTACGACCTCAATCACTCACCGACTACAGTATCTTTGGCCTCCGTTGCCAATCTACTATGATCCCTTTAACCTCTGTCACCTGTCGACTATGGCCCTTCCAACCTTCGTCACCCGCCGACTACAGTCCACCTCAACCATGCGACAATATTCCCCTCTACTTCAATCACCTGACTACGATCCCTCTTACCTCTATCGCCCAACTATAGTCCTACTAATCAAATGAATAGGCCAACATTCTTTTAAGAATAACTCTCATATCTTGGGATTCTTCCATCTTCCACCATGTGTTGTGATCTATATAATGTATTTTTGCTACATTGAGCTAAGGCATAGAACAAGAAGGAGAGATTCAATGATCAGTGCTTTGACTAAAGATGACCGAATATTGCAATAAATGTGAAAATTATTTGAATAATATCTAACATAATAATGATAAATTACTCATGTAAAAGTGTAATTTTATGAATAAATCACTCATTCAAATAATTAAATATATAAACAAATACATATATTATTAACTTTAAAAAAATATTATTCATATTACAGAATTTACCATAAAATTTTTAAAATAATTTAACTTAATAATTTTGTTACTTTTGAGTTGCCAAGAAACATTTAGATTAATCCAAATTTGGTTATAGACTGATAGTGCATTTTTTTTACTTCAACCATTCGTGATCTTGCTTTGTAGATCTTATGTGCTGCTTAATTTGTTGAAAACAATAATGCACGGCAAGATAAATGCAATATAAAAAAAAATGTGTTTTTGTTTTTTTTGAAATATTTGAAGTTTGAATGATTGTAAAAAATATATATATAAGATATTTTTTTAATTTCAAATAAAATAAATGCAATATAAAGTAAAATAATGATTATTTATGGTGGCAGTAACAGTGTCTTGCTAAGATGCAAGGTGGCGGTGGTCATGGCGATGAGCGACGACATGGCAAATGACAGCTATGGCAGCCAACAAGTAGAGGCGATGGCAGCCAATGATGGCCAATAGGTAGCTAGCATTGGCGAAAGGGATAGACGTGGTGTCTAATTGTGATGGCAGATGCGGGCAATTATGGTTGGCAATAGTGGCAGCAATAGACGTCAGTACCAATCAGCGACCATAGCTAGCTGAAAGCAATGATTTTACATACATGGAATTCAGCCAAAACATGCTGAATTTACAATAGATCAAAAATGAAAGAAAAAAAAAAAGCAAAATAATTTTACATTGCTTTTTTTCATCAAACCAACCACCAAGATTTTGTTTCACCCAACATTTCTTTTCAGCAAACAAAACAGCTCCTTTTTTCAACAAATCAAACAGCTTCTTAAATTGGTTTGCTTTTTACAAAATTTGAAATATCATAATCTTAATCTGTAAATGTAATTTGTGATGAAAATTACTATAGGTCTTTTGAGAACCAAAAAGACAAACATGCTCATATATTTCACTGAAAATGTATAATTTCCGCACTGAAGATAGATTCCTAACACGCTGATCCCTTCTAAATTTTATGAGAAGTTACAATGAGGATGCATGCAAACTCTAAAATTTAATGATCCAAACCTGCCTTGGTCCAATAAGACCAAAGGAGACGCCTATGACAATTCCTCAATGCACATGAAGCACCTATTTATCAAGTTGGAATTCTCACAGCTGCATACCTGCATTAAGGAAAAGTTACTAGAGGAGTGATTTCAAATTACTCTGGACAAATTCTCTATGCTGCTTCTCCAAGAACTCCAGGAGTTGAAACATGATCACGGTCCCCATGCTCAACAAAGAACGGTAATCTTCCTGGATCTTTCTCCGCCAAAACAGCCATAACTGGAGCTGAGGCTGGGTAATTATCTAAAATGAATTCAATGTGATCTCCACTTATCTCTTTATTATCCAGTAATACCTGGTAACAAATCAAATTGGAAAATTATTTGTGCAAAATGACATCAGTAATGAAATAGACCAAGTTTAATTCTACGAATTTAATTGAATAACTTTTACACATGTTGCTATCCATTTTCCTTTCCAACAGTTTCCACGCTTACATTTTCTACGAGCTTAAGCATTGTCCATGCGCAACATCAATTTATTTACTATCTTATATTCTAAGCATGAAATTAAAAGCATGCTAATAGCGAGCTCACTATCGTCATTTAACTAGTTTTATCTACTATGTTAAGAGGAGTAAATATTATTTATTATAAGAAATTAAATGAAAACAAAAAAAGATAAATCTGAAAAAAAACCGAGGAAAGATTATAAATTATTGTATGTTGGACAGGTTAATAATATGAATGAGATTGAGCTAGTAGTGGTTACAAAGATGGAAGATAAAATTATTGTGATTAATAGGGTTAAGGATAGGATAATTTTTATTGAGTACTCGGTAGCAAAAAAATGGCTCCTAAAGATAATTTAGAAAGTTTAGAAAACTCTTAGTTTTGAAGAGAGTGATAAACTAATACATCATATTCAAATAGGCATAAAAGTTTTAGAATGATGGGGAAATAGAAATATAATGGGAGAAATTATATTGATTTTGTAGTAGCCTATAATATTGCAATATTGAAAGCAGATTTTAAGTAACAAGAATACTTGGTTATATATGAAAGCGGAATCAATAAATCACAAACAGATTACCTTTGAAGAAAATTAAATTCACAAAGAGATTTTCATACATGGAAGAAAAGACTAATCTTCCAGCAAAAATTATAAGGTGAGTTTAAGAGAAAAGTTCACCACAGAACTTATGGTAGTAATTATGGATTTATACATTCAAGAGTATAAATACAACAATAAAAACATTAGAACTCCAGGATAAAGTGAAAGAATTTGAAAGGCAAAGAATTTTTAATATTTCAAGATAGGTTGTTATGATAGGAAAAATTTGAATTCTATTGTTGAATTCGTCAAGAAATGAAGACAATAAGAAAATCTTTATTATTGATTTAAAATATTTAATACATGTCAATATATAGACAATTGTAAAACAAGAAATAAAATGGGAAAAAATCCTACAGATTTACAACTCATGATTTAAGTAAATAAAAATTATATTCTTAAACAAATACGCATAATTTCTTTCCTAGTTAATTATATACTTTAATTTGTACCTTGGTCTTCCTAGTATAGCACATTACAACAACAAAAACAACAAGCCTTTGTCCCACTACATGGGGTTGGTTATATGAATCCTATAATAATCTTTATATGATGAAATAATATTTATTTTTAATTAATAATATTAAATAAATTATATTCTTCATTTATTTTTTATTTTAATACAAAAGTTATATTATTATATGATTTTTATATTATCTAAATTTTATTTCTTACATCATCCGGTTCAACCCCGGTTCGACCGTGAACCACTCTCTCTACCGGTTCTTTGTCCGGTCCAGTTTTCACAACCTTGATTTTTACTATTAAAATTTTTTCCTTTGATATTTCAGGCACATCTTTTGTAATATTTTTAATATTACTAGCCACTTTATCCCACATAACATTAGCATCCTTATGTACAGACAAAATCTTAAGATCTAAAATCTTCCTCTCAAAATTATTATTATTATTATTATTATTATTCTTTAAATATCCCCATCTAATCGTAGAATATCGTTTACTTTTTATCTTAAAATCCAAAACTAATAATCAATGTTGGGTACATAAATTTTTTCTTAAAATCTTTGTAATTTAAACGATCTAATTTTCTTATATGAAAATAATCAATCTAAATTTTATTATATCCACTTTTATAAGTGATGAGATGCTTATCTTTTTCCTTAAAAAAGATATTTGCAATTAAAAAATTATGAGCAAAAGAAAAATCTAATATAGTCTTAGCACTTTCATTTGTTGTTCCAAACTCATGACCACCATGAAAACTTTTAAAATCATCTACCTCTCTACCAATATGTCCACTTAAATCTCCTCTAATAAAAACTCTTTATTCAAGATGTATCTTTTGTATTATTTTTTCTAAGTCATTCCAAAATTTTAATTTTGAAATCATACACAAATCAACTTGAGAAGCATAAACACTTATAATATTAACAAATTTACCATCAAAAATAATTTTTTAAACTATGATTATATCTCCAATTCTACTAATTTTTATAATATTATTTTTCAAACTCTTATTTATAATTACACCAACACCATTTCAAGTACGACTCCTACCTAAATACCATAACTTAAATCCTAAATTATCAATCTTCTTAGCCTTCTCTCCAACACATTTAATTTCTTGAATACACAAAATATTTATTTTCCTATGAATCATAATATCTATTAATTTCATTAATTTTTTTATAAGGGAACATATCTTCTAAGTTCCTATCCTAATTTTAGTTTCATATGATTTTATGGACTAGCATCTTTGCCCACATCCAATCTTGATGTGGGAACCCTAGCCTATTTAACACTGCACCGGGTGCCGGTGCAGCGGCCCTCGCATACTTTGTGAAAACCCGAAAATGCTGTTTTAGACCTCGCACGCTTTTCAAAGCGCCGCGACGAGTTTTAAGTGAAAAATTCAATGTTGTCAGATTTCGACGGGATTAATTTTATAAAATTCTACGCAAAATTCCGGGTCGTGACATACTTATCACTGTCAAACCATGCAACGCGTCGCTTCTAGGGGACGCCCAAGCATTAACACAATTTTTTAAAGGATTCATGTCATGATTATTCGACATGTTTTACACTGGCTGTCGACTACCTAATGACGATTATAGCCTATCCAAATGCCAAAAATATTCAAGACCCTTGATTCAATTACCTTATTACTCCAATAGTTTTATAGCATTCCTTAAGTTGATGAATAGATATTTTTTCATTTTATGTTTGGATACAATTGTTAGAAAAACTCCATTATTTAGTCCCTTAGTTGGCACATCTAAATACTACCAATTAGAAGATGCATAGGGTGGGCAAATCAAGCTAATATTTAGCTTCTCTTTAATGAATTTTTAGTTAACCGCTACATAATATTATTTGATCATATTGTAATTGATTATAAGTTACGTTAATTAAAAATAAAATGTTATAATAAAGCATCATTGGGTCATCATCCTAAATTTTTAAATACCCAAGGATGAATTTACTAGCACAATAGTATACTAAATCTTTGAGTTATCATTCTAAACTCCACTTAAGCATTTGGTATTGACATTGCATTTTGCATCTTGTCCAAGTTAAAGATTCATAAAAAGAAAAGTCTAATATTTTAATATTGATTCTCTATCCACAATAGAACCAACATTATAAGCATTTGTACATGACTTCAGTAATATGCTTGTGCTTTTAAAAAACAACTAGACTTGTGCCATTTTGAACGAAATTCCCTAACCTATGAATCGTTACAAACATCGCAACACTCAGTTCATGGTTTGTATGTGGACATTTAAGTTGTGCAAAATCTAGCTAATCAAACTAATAATATCTCATGAGTCTTTTCTTGAGGTAAACTCGCTTGCTCCAATATATTATTTAATTTCAAGGCTCCAACTTTGCATTCATTGCATATTTTGATTTTCCGTTGATGGAAATATTGTTTAGGGTAACAAAAAATTCTTATGAAATGTTGAAAACTTTTTAAATACACAACATAAGAAAGTAGATACAAAAGGTGCTTAATACATCCCATGATTCAGTTTCTAATGGCAAAGGAAAGAATATGATATGGATTGCGACCCAATAGCTTTGTAATTCAACTTGTAAAGAAGAATTATAAACTACTATCTCATATCTAGTCTCGGGTAAGATCATCGAAATGATGCAAGTTAAAGAGTAGAAGCCTTTTCTCTCAAGCACATTTAGTCAAATAAGAGAACCTTTCAAGGGGAGACACTACAAACATGGAGATAGGTTCATGTTCTTAAACAAGAGCTATAGATATAGGGTGATACATGGAGACAATAGGCTCATACTTGGGAGGCATGGATTTTGATAATGAAAGAAAATCAATGAAAGTAAAATCTTTAATTGCTTCCCTAAATAAAATTCTCCTCTTGAATATAAGAAGTAGAAATTAAAAAAAAAAAAAGAAAACTTTCAAAGAATATAGGAAGTAGAAATAGCATTGTCTCATGAACTGCGACATCAATCCGAGAAAAAAAATCTCTTTGAAGGTGGATAACATCACTTAAATCCATTTTGAGTTGAAGAATATTCCCACAAAAACATATATGATAGCCCTTATTTTAATTTTTTAGTGGTTTTGACTATAAATACAAAGCAATCAAATCCAAAAGTCTAAGGATAAATTTTAAAGTTCTTACGTAAGGATTAAATTTAGACAATATTTCTATAGGGCACTTGTAATCCTAGAATGCAACCTATTTATAAGGCGTGTGACGGTAAGAATAGGAATGTCAATATATAACACGACGCGACAACCATACTTGAAGCCTACCAGAAAATTCTGGGTTCAGGTCGACTCGTTTAACAAGCGGGTTGGGTTCGAGTTGAATTTCTTGACCCGATTGATAAATTAGTCTGATTCGAGTTAACACGCGAACTCGAAAACAACCTGTTTGACTCAAAATAGCGCTCATGCTTATGCCCACACCCTCGCTCCCACCTGTGCTCGTGCTTGCCTACTCATAGCGCGCTCTCACAGTCAGGCCCACTCACCCGCTCGCAACCTCCCCTTGCCTGCTCGCCTTCTCGCTAGACGTTTGCTAGTCCGGATCTGGATTTCTGACTCGTTTGTCTAATCGGGTTGGGTTCATGTCAAATCAATTGAAGGAAGGTAAGTTTCAGGTTAGATTGAACCTAACCCAAAAACCAATTTTGACACCCTTAAGTAAGAATTACTTTTCCTTCTTACATTTTGGCATTAAATTGAATTGTTAGGTTTGTATCAAAAAGATGATCATTTTTCATTTTCTACAATTGCAT